CGGGGCACGGCCCGGGGCCCCTCCATCCCCCCGTGACAGACAGCCCGGGAGCGCACGGCGTGATTCACCGCTCTCCTCTGCTGGAGTAGTGTCATTCTCTTTTTTTGTTATTTTAAACAGCGGCCAGGAACCCTCAGCGATTTCCAGAAAGAGAAAGGGATGGCTGGGCTCCCGGATGGCGCAGGGCACCGATCCGCCCCAGCCCGGCCTCTCTCACCCTGGATGTGACCGAAGGATCCCGGGCCATCCCGGGCGCCGCCGCACTGCGGGGCCGGGAACCGTGAGGTGCCGTCCCGATCCCGATCCCGTTCCCTGGGCACCGCGCCGATCACCGCAGGCACATCCATTCCCCTGGGGCGGGAAGCGGAGTCAGCCAGCGCCTTCCTCCGATGGGAATGGAAGTTTTAACCAAAACATGATGCAAAAACCTTCCCGTGTCTGAAAAAAAAACAGAGAGGAGACATTGTCAGAAGAGATAAACCTGTTTAACCACCCGTGCTAGTGTAAGGCAGCCCCATGAACAGATCTCATCTCTTTACAGTATGAATGTAAATTGTACAACTTCTGCAGGAAAGAATGGAAAGGAAAAGAAAAATGAAAGAAGAAAAAGAAGGGAAGAGAAAAAGAGGAAAAGGGGAAAAAAGGAGGAAAGGAAAGGGGAAAAGGAAAAAGGAAAGAGGGAAAAAGGAAGGAAATAGGAAAAAATTAAAGGAAAAAGGAAGGAAAGAGGAAAACTGAAAGGAAAAAGCAAAAAGGGAAGAAGAAATTTAAGGAAAGAGCAAAGGGGGGAAAAAAAAGGAATGGAAAGAGGAGAGGGAGAGCAGAAGAAAACTTGGCACCTGCCTCGTGTTAGACTCTGGTGTGGTCTCCAGCTTTCTGCTCAGAGATGGAACATTGGCCAAAGCCCTTAGGGCAACACTTAATTTAACTAAAATAGCTTCTATTTGGATGCAATTTCCACCCACACAGCTGCCTCAATAAGACCAAAAGGCCTTATAATTCTATATTTAACACCACTCCGACATTATGATGGGTTTTTAACCCACCGATGATTTATCCTCCTGTATAAAGAGATTAGTTCATGGAAACACTCCGAGCACGCAGCTGCCAGTTCAGTGGGACAGGAGGAGACAAGGAAAACAAGCAGCTCACATGGCACAAGGGAAATGCCAGGAAAGGTGCAATGGATCAGGGATGGACATTCCCTGGGCTGTCCCACCCAGCAGTGCCTGCCAGCCCCGAGCAGGAGAAGCTCCCATAACAAGAGACCTTCCAACTTCCAGTCCTAATTTTTTCAAGGCCACTCTTCCCTTTAAAGTGACATTTTCTCTGAATTTTAATTAATAAGAATGTATTTTGCCCAGCCCTTGCTTTCCAAAGCTAACGCTGGAGAAGCTGTGCTGTCACCCTTCCCCCTGCTCCTCCAAGCAGCTTTTCCCTGCACCCAATCCAGTCCCAGATCAGGCACAGGAAATTCCAGATGAGATTTTTTTTTTTTCAGGAATGTTCTTATCACTACCAGAAATTACCAAAACAAATGTGCAAAGTATTTTTATGAATACAGTGAGGGCAACATTGTAATTCTGATTGAGAGTAATGTGAATAAGCCCTTGACAACCTGTGATGTCTTTAAATGCCATTCTTTGCCCCTAAGATTTTGGGTATTCATGGACAAATTATCCATTTATCTTTTCAAGTCAGCCCCTTTTACAGTGATATAAAGGATGCTGCAGCAGCTGCAGAATGGAGGCATAGCAAATAAAATACTTTGATTGAATAAGGTCTTTATAATTTCACCAGCAAATCTATGGTTTGCATCTCTTGGTTAAACAAGAAAATGGATTTTTAAAATTCCATTATAATATAACCTAAGGCAACAAGGTACATTTAAAAAATTGTCAGGTTCTGAGTATAGACACAGCGCTGACATATTTAACTAGGGGGATTTTTGGTCATCTACAAGAAGGAAAAAATCTATATATAATTTGGCTGATTTTATCAGAATACTTGGAAGAGTATCTATCATCAATTAAGAACAAATGAAAGGAGTTTTTATTTCGAGACAGGAAGTGACTAAAGGTCTTGGGGGGAAACAGGAAGGGAGTTCCATTTTCCCTGAGCAAGCCAAATTAACAAGCAAGGGGAAAACAGAGCTCTGTAGTACTGAAACTATTGCAAAACACGCCAGGTTTTAGCTCTTTAGAAAAGTATTTTACAAATCTGCTAGGAAGATTGACAACAAGTAGGAGTATTTTGCAGATATTCAGCAATTTATTTTACTTAAAACTTAGTTTTCATGAGCTGTTTTCTTATAGCAGAGTTAGGAAGGAAAGCATTCCATGAGAGAAACCCCAGTGGGGATGTTTCTGAATTTGCACAGCAGTGCTGCCAGTGGTTGTGTCAGTCCACTCAGACCTTCTGCTTTATCTCCCACAGAGGTAACATGATATCACAGCAGATCATGGGCTAAGATAACAATGGTGATAGCACAAACGCAGCACTGTCACTGCACAGCAGGATCCCACAGGAATAACCCCACATTTGGTCTCAGAGATTTTAAAGGATGGATTTAAAATTGCCAGGTTGGCCGGATTTCTGTCCCTCCTTTAAAGCTTTAAGGACAATCTCCCAGGTTTCAGACATAATGTCTTTATCTCTGAAGGATAAAACTCTGCAATTCTTTGTTTTCAGATTATGCCTGTGCTGAATCAAGCAGATTTGCCTCACAGGTTTGTCTTCACTTGAACACCTGCTGTACTTCTTTTCAAGATCAGCAGTGACACATTGTGACAAAATCACTGCTTAGTTTATTAATACAAATGCAGCATATGGAGGGGGGAAAGTGTGAAAACAATAGAACAAAGGGATTTCCATCTCTTGATGGTAACTGAGCCAGGCTGGGCTTTATCAGAATCTTCTATGGGGCCTTCCTTGTCCTCTGCTATAAATAACATTTTCTTGGTGATAACTTCTCTAACCTGTTATATTCCTTAGTGTTCCAGGCACTCCTTATTCTGGAATTGTTTGATTGGAATCAAACCCACCCATTTCTACAGTAAATGTCCCACTACCCATATCAATAGACTCTGATTCAGCCCTGCAGAACTGCCTTCAGCCAGCCAGGGGCTGAGCCCATCCACCTGCATCAACCAAGCAGCTTCAGGACAGCTCCACAAGACACCAAGTGCCACCAGTGAAAAGCTGCCATGAGCTGTAGCTCTAAATTCCTGCACCCAGGTAATTTCTTTTTGGTCTCTGTAAGCTGTCATTCAGAGGGACCAAAGCTGATGAGTGCCATTAAAATGATGGTACAACAGTGAGAAAGGACACATTTGTTCATCAATAAAATATATAACATTTGAAGGGAACCAAAACAGTGACAGTGCTCTCTCCAGCAAATGAGACTCATGAAAAACTCACCTCACTGAGCTGCACAGGAATCCAGTGCTAATGGGAATTTGGTCAGAAAACAATGGCAATGCTCTCCAGCAAATGAAACTATGACATGAAAAACTCACCTCACTAAAGCTGCACAGGAATCCACTGGTAATGGGAATTTACTTTGATTACTCCTTTTCTTGGAAAGAACCACTTAGGTCTTACTTAAAGGACAATACATTAATCTTATGTCTTACTGACACCCCCAGAATGTTCTAATTCTCAGAATACATGTAATTCCCCACATTAAGTTTAATGTTACTACTTGTCAGCCCCTCACACTTTTAAGAAATACAATTAAATTATTCACTTACCAGTTTGGCCATAATACCTCTCACTCTTGAGGAACATAAGGACCATCAGTTCCATTGGACCTAGACACAAAAAAAAAAAAATCCATTATTAACAAAGAGTTCCAGATAGTATTAACTACTTTTTCTAATTCATGTTCCCCCCTCCTAATTTTTATTTTAAATCTCCTCCACATTCTGGCTCCAGGTACTGAGCTAGTGATGCCACTCACTCATTGACTGGAACTTACAACAGCAAGAACGAGCACTCTGAAATCATGGCATTTTATGTACATTTTTTTTAAGGCTTTTTTTAGAACTTGGGGATTTATTACAGTTATAATAAATTGGAATTTAAGCTGGCTTGCTCTGTAAAGGGAAAAGTGTACCTAATTTGTATTAGAGATCAATTTTTGCTCTTTCTCAGCATTGCCATTGACCCACTTGGGAAAGAAACAGCCTGGTAACCAAAATTCAGGGTTATTCCCTGGGCTGCCAAATGTACCCAAGGAGAAAACAAATAGATTGATGGGGGCAACATTTTCACCATCACTGTAGGCAAGGCTGATGGCATCACCATTGGAATTAAAAACTTAACTACACAGGCAAAGTGTGCAGAGGAAGCAGCACATTGATCTGAACTCACATTTGAAAGGAAGAGCTGCTGTTTTCCAGAACTTTGCTCACTTCTTAACAACCTGTCCCCTGCAAAAGCCTTTGGCAGCTCCAGCAGCTGGAGCCTTCAGCTGGGGCCTGGTGGGGCCACAGAGCATTTCTGACCTCTGGGGATGGAATGTAGGGCAGCTTTGGAAAGCACCACCAGGACTGAGGCTGCTTTCTTAGAGTATTTAGGGAGCTCTTCCTTTTATCTGGGTCAGACAAAGATAGGATAGCTAAGAAATGTCCAACATGACTTCCCTGCTTTCTCAGTATCACATCCAGCTGGCCATACACTAAAGCCCTTTACCTCCCTCACCTTTCCCCAGATAAAATATCCCAGCTCTTGAACTCTTTGGGCAATTTCAGTTAACCATGGCAGTGGCAGAAGATTCAAGGATATTGAACTCCTGATAGTTTTGTAGAAACCAGCAGTTGGCTAAATTAGAGAGAGCTGATGGGCAGAGGGAGCAGGAGAACCTGGTGGTTCCCCATTCCTCTGGTGTATACATAAGTAGTTTTTACAAGCCTGCCTGTCTGTCATTTACCCAGATGACAAAAGCAAAGAGGAGGATGAGGGGTGTGAGAACGACTGAAGATATTCCAGGATAGAGATGCAAACAGTGTAAGACCTGGGGCTATAGGAAACTTGAATTTGCTTGTTTTACTGGTTTGGAACTAGGTTCTGACTGGTGTAGATAGGGATGTATTTTAGGTGAGTCATGCCACTGGTGAAGGATTACCTAAGTGCAACCACAGTGTTGGCAAGGGAATAAAAGAAATCCTGTAGGCTAAAGTGTTTCTGATATATCCTGTAAAAAGGAGCAGAAATGAAAAGAAAATATACTCAGAAAACAGCACTTGGAAAAGAAGTGGCACAGGGCTACTTAAGTCCCTAAAGGAAACCAAAGTTCTTCAGATTTCTAGAGCATGGTGTTTGGCAGGTATCCCTTACTCTAAACTATTTGCAAAGCTTTTTTTTTTCCGTGCAAAATATAGTTTTTACACTTCTCATTGTGTCTTGTGAAAAACGAACATATTTCAGTAAAAACTAACTTCTTGAATGACATGTAACATCTGCTCAAATGATTACTTCAGCACAGGCTGTTAGCTAAGATTTATTGGATTTATTCCATCAGGTAGAATCAGGTTGCTAAACAGTGTAAGTTTTAACATATGAGCCTGGAAATAACTTGACCATATCCTGGGGAGAAACGCCTGGGTAAATTGAGAAAAAACCCAATCAGTTTGGCTTTAAAGGCAGCTTATGTTGTTTCTCATTCCATTTTACTCACTTGAAGTTTTTGAAAATAAAATCAGAATTTTGAATAGCATTCTTTCTTTAAGGCTTATGCAACTAAATTGATTCAACAGAATTCTTAAAATTGACAGTTGCTTAAAAGAATAATAATAATAATCATAAAATGCTTTGGGCTGGAAGGGACATTCAAGACCATTTCATTTCTCTCTCCTCACCCCCATATTCCATGGGCAGGGATACCTTCCACTAGAACAAGTTGTTTCAAGGCCAACCTTGAGCAATTCCTGGGAAATGTAAATCATATAAACATAATTCTTCAGCTCTGCAGTGGGCAGTAAAGCCACTCTCCCTGAGCAGCTTTTGGACTCTACACCAGCAGCAGTTTTTACCTAGACTGGAGGAGGAGTCATCTGGAGGAACAAGGCACACAGATGTGTGATCCCTTTGAGGCTGCCACTGAGTTCATGTCAATTTTATTTGTTCTTTCAGCACACTGTATTTCTTACAGTGTAGAGCTGTTTTATAGATATCCTAGTAAAAAAGCAGAGACTCAAAACAAAGGCCTATTGATCGGCATTTCAAATACATTCCTTGGATGGTGAGAAGACAACCTCCTAGCCCCTGTTAGTTACATCTAAAACTTCCTCCAATTTGCTCAATAACTGCTGATCCCAGATTATATTTAGGCAGTCTCTTGATCCTTCAGGGTGCTCATGTAGCTGATGTGATGGTCAAATGTGCCTCTGATCACTCCTGTGGTGCTTTGCAGTACTTATGGAAGTGTCCCACTTCCCTTCTGCTCTTGTCTCCCAGAATCCTTAGGTTCAGTCCACTTGCAGCCAATCACCACTTCCCTCTTGTTCTGCTCATCTGACCTGGTTTAGCTTTCCTTATAGCCTGGAAGTTCCTACTGATGTTCAATTTTTGCACTGAATTCTTCTTTGAAGCAAGGATCCTTTCTTTTTCTTTAGGAGTGTAAGAAAAAGAACAATTGTAAGGCACACAAAGGAGATGCTTTCTATATTAAGTAAGTGTAATATTCCATCCTGGCTTTGCCATGAGATGAGTGATGGTTACTACCTTGGGAGAATCAGCCTCTCTTTCCTCATCTGAGGAATTTTTCCCCCTTTAAAATCCACTTCTATGACTGCTCCAGAATGCTGAACTTGTAAAAGTAATTTATGCATCCCACCATGGGATAAGAGGGAAGGCAGCTGGGAGCAGACAAAAAGAGATTCCAAAATGGACCAGAGCTCCAGCTGCTGACCCACAGGACACAAAGCTCAGCACTGGCACCATCACAAACCAGTAACTTCAGTTCCCCCAGACTAAAACAGCCCAGGGCGGGGTAATTCGTACTCCTCCATATAGCATCCATCTAAGTGCAACTAAATAAAGATAAACATATTATTCCTAAAAATAGCAGGGGGTGTCATCACTCATATTTTTCAGAAATAGCAAGAGCTATTTAAACTGCTTTGACAATGAAATCAGGTGCCACCATATAAATACACAGTATATGATACATTGGTTCAGTTTTAGATCATTTTATGGCAACTGGATGATATTTAAATTTTTATTGCATGCCTAATAATATGTAAATTTTAACACATTGTGTTAGGGATTTTTTTTCATGTCACATTAGAAATTTTAGTTCAAATTATAGATATTCCTTCAGTCTTTTTGCATTTATAGTTGTGTGTGGTATAGATTGGATGGAGGGATGGAGGGATGGAGGGATGGAGGGATGGATGGATGGATGGATGGATGGATGGATGGATGGATGGATGGATGGATGGATATCCAAAATGTGAACCAAAAAAGCCAAATCTATCAGGCTGGCTGTTGGACACCAGTTGGGTTCAGTTTACCCTCTGGAGAGCTCAGGCTCCCCAGTCAATACCAAGGCTCAGTGTTACACAACATTGGCACGTTATGAAGTCAATTCCTCCCACACACAGTTCACAGAGCTCAATACAACAGGTGGATGAAAGATGTGCTGCGTAGGGGTGTTTTGGAAAACTGAGGCAACAACAAACCAAAGGGGTCAGTGGAAAAAGAGCAGTCAGCTTTTCCACTTCCCATTCTTGGGTAGTTGTTTTCTCTTGAATGTTTGGGATTTGCTTGGATTTGCAAGGCAGGTCTAGAACAAGTAAGGGAAGATAGACATGCATTGAGAAAATCAAAGAACATCCCATAATACTAGGTTAGCTCCATAGCAGGCACTCTGTGCTCTGGCACACACTCCTGTGAGCCCTCCTCAGCTGTAAGCTCCTAAGGCAAAGCCCCCATAATCTGTGATTTACCCAGTGCAGCACCAGAGCCCGCAGTGCCAAGGCAGCCCCTGACGCTGTGCTGGGCTATAAATACCTCCTGCCACCAGGGGCTTTTTCAAATCGGCTCCAATCAGATTTCTCCCCACTGGGCTGCCAGAGCAGGCACCCAGCTGGGAGCACTGCCCAACCTGGTCACCCACACTGGCAAACCTCAGAGGAGTCTGAAGGAGCTCTGCCCATGAAGTGAATGGCACGACACAAAGAGCAATTTCATTGCCATTTGCTCTGTGTCATGTCAGCACAGGACTGGTTTGGTCTAAAACCCTCTCTGAGCCTTGGCAGCACACAGATGTGTGGGATAGATGTGTTTGTAGCTGTGTCACCCGGGGCAACATCACATGGGCTTGGACAGGATAGACGGGTTTGGGCTTTGGCAATACCTGGATAAGGAGCCCACATGATTGCTGCATGTATTTGTGTTCTCAGCGCTGCCACACAGAAACTCTGGCCCTGCCATGAGCTGTGTGCTGCTCTCCCAGAAATCCTGGTCACCTAACAGAGCCAGCATGGAGAATGGCTGGCAGCTCCTGCCCTTGTGCCTGAATAAAGTCATTATCTCAGGCAGAGCAACCAGCACTGCAGCTGGGAGTGTGGGGGCTCCCCAGCAATGGTTATGTGGGAGAGAGAATGAAATGGCCAAGGGGGAAGGTGGGAAGTTGTGGATGGAAGCTGTGGGTGGAAGTTGCGGATGGAAGCTCTGGATGGAAGCTCTGGATGGAAGCTCTGGATAGAAG